AATCCACATTTTGCCCACCATGGGTTTCGGCTGTTTCACATTCAGAGGCTAGTGTGGTGACCTTAGTAAAATAAATTGGGGGGTAGTGTATAGTGTCTGAGATTGTTAACAGGGGACACTATCACAATATCCCAGTAAGGGAGCCAGATGCTCACAAGGTCCACAGCAATGTCCAAGCACTGACAACAGCTGGCTTACCTCACTGGCGACGCTTCTTTTCTGAAAATAAAACTTTAGGTTCTATTACATCTCCTCCCCTAACAGGTTACCTTCTGATGTCTAAGGAGATGAAACATTAACACCAACATTTCTGAAAACCTGGTTTTTCTTTTCCCATGAGAGAGGGCGCCATCCAATAACGAATGTGAAGTGTCTAATGACAGGGAAGAGCCCAGCTCAGTTGTCCAGAAGAGGCTGGGCAAACAGAACCAGCCTGTCACTCCAAATGAGATGTGACCAGGGAGCCCCCGCAACTCATAATTTTAGGAAAGTCAAAAGCAAGAAGAGAAGGGCCCTCATTGAAGTTGTTTAAAACAAAGAGGAAGGAAGGAAGGAAGGGAGGGAAGGAGGGAGGGAGGGAGGGAGGGAGGGAGGGGAATAGAACAATAATCGCTTCTTGGGAGTGGGTGGCAGTAAGAATTGAGAAGAGCTGTGAAGAACTTCTTGGGGTGATGGAAATTATCTCAATAAGGGATGGATTATACAAAACCCATGAGATGGTAATTATGATATTGTGCACGTCACTTTATGTAAAATTTACCTTTAAAAAACCCCATAAGTAAAGAACAACATAAACTGATGAACAAAAATAGAACCAGAGTGGGGAAAAATATATTTTAGACTATAATAGAAGTAATCCTGTTATTTGCAGATTTTTAATATTTCCTACAACTTTTATGATATCATACTATGTTAGTACAGTTTTGGAATATTACTATACTCAAAATGCTTTTTTCTTGAAATTTTAACGTTTATTATATATAACATTATTAAATTTAAGATCGTTTTTCTTGAATAAAAAAATACATACGTAGTGAAGTCCAATTAATAATATTGAAGCTGATGTGTTTATGGGTGAAGTGTACTGATGTCCACTAAAAATAATAAATGGATGTCT